ACCATCTGCAGGAAGGAGAGGATGAGAGTTGTGGAAGGAGGTTTACCATCAACAACAGCAAACGGGAAACAACTAACCAAATAGTGTGACTTTCTCAGCCACTTTCTTTAGCAAGACCAATGCAGGGCGTTTCATGTCGGTTTCTATGTGAAACAGCTTTGCCACATTAGGATTTACAGTTTGGTAGAAGTTAACACATCGTCAAGTTTTGATGCAGCAGCAAGTTCCTGACTCTCAGAACCCTGTAATTATTTGATAGGAAACAAGTGACTCTCAACTTAGACAAAGTAAATATCAAGTTTTAACATCTTAGTGGGCTACTGGCAGAAATAGGACCAAGTCCAGTCCAGAGTGTTATGTTATTTGAAGCAGCAATTTCCATGCAGGAAAATCTAACTTACATTAATTTGTGAAGAAGCTCATAGAAACCTCATAATGAGATTTATTTAAATGCCTTATCTCAGAGACAATTAATGATCAGCAACAAAAATGGAAGTCATTTGCTTCAATACAGACAATTCGTAAGACAGAATTTTTCGTGAAACTAGATGAAGTAAACAATAGAACAGAAGCACCTTGACGTATTGCAATGTAATGACAACCCTTTAAATGGGAAGCCGATGAAGAAAAAGAAGAAGAAGAAGCAAATAATTGTGTAACTGGAATGGCTAGATCTTGTGAATACCACCAAAGAATTGAGGAAGCCCAAAACAACTTTGTCCTCAGAGGTTAATATCCGTTCTGCATCATCAACTGTAGTAATATTTCCTACCCCTGGTCCTATCTTCTTCTTAATCCAGGTCACAATTGCATCTCTGCAAAACATATTCTAATCAACACCTCCACAGCAACAACCAAATAGAAGAAGAGGTTTAACTTCATTAGCACCATGTTTAAATGATCATAAAAAGGTCAAACTCCTAAAATACTGTCCACTTCAGCGTTGACATTATACCACATCCACATACATTGACCCAATCATAGGATTACAGCAATTCTTCTGGTCGTTATCCTAACCAAACTTTCTCGAATGGACATTTTCAAAGTCGTTAGCTTTTGATGACAATGTACCGTAATTGGATTCAGTTAGTGTTAGTACCAATCAAGCTTTCCCTGGAATTTACAAATCAATAATAAAGCTATATGTGAAAGAACATAGCATTTGTCATAGCAAAGATAACCAATCAGTCTTTTTTTTTGGTCAGCAATGATATAACACTACAAGTACAACACAACACATAGAGCAGCACAGATGTCCAATCAATCTGAAAAGTAAATTTTGAAAATTGATTCGTAAGCCTAAAAGATAGCATTTTTCACTGAACCAAAGGAAAATTTAATTTTGTAGAAGGAAAATCGTAGCAAATCGCAATCGGGAGGGCTTTGTATAGTTTGGGACTTGTTTCTATACAACTGCAATTGTCCGGGTCCTAACGTTGTCAACTATAAATAAGAAAAACAAAGCCATTGAGAATCAAATGGCAGAGGAATCATTACTTGGATCGTTGACCAGTGTAGGGTTTATGCTCTCCATCAGCAAAGAAAAAAACAGTTGGAAATCCTTGAACTTCATACTGCTCCGCCAGCTCATGCTGCTCGGTAGCATCCACCTTCGCAAGCGCCACCTTTTCACCCTCCAAATTCTTCAACTCCGTGGCCGCGGCGGCGTACTCAGGCGCCAATGCCTTACAATGTCCGCACCACGGCGCGTAAAACTCGACCATCGCATACTTATTACTCTCGATAAAATCACTAAAGTTCCCCTCATTCAACACGACGACGTCTTTCTCGTCCACCTTAGGGCCTAATTCTACGTCATCGTTTTCTTCCCCATCGCCGTGATCGAAGTTGGAGGGAATTTCGAAATCGTCGTAGCTTTCTTCGTCGTCTTCGTTGTCATAGCCATCATCGTCTTTCAAATGCTGGTGTTGGGAGGTGTGCTTCGACGCGGCGTCGTCGTCGTCGCCATCGTCAGCTTCGAGGAAGCTGAGGTCTTCGTCGTCGTCTGCGTCGGAGGGGTCGGGGGTTTTGGAGAGGACAGGAGTTAGGAGACTCGAGAAGAGGAGGAGACAGGTGAGTGACAAGAGTATAAAGAGTCGATTCGGCATTGTTGGTGGTGCCGGAGGTGAGTTGACTCGGATCGGAGACTTAGCACTTGGCAGAGTGATGACAGACAGATCTGGCGGGGACAAGGAAACAGGGGTTTTGGACTTTGGAGAAGCGGCGGGACCGTGGATGACTAGCTATGACGTTGTCACGTTAGTAAGAAAAGTACTCTGCGACGTCGCACCATGGTTAAGTGCAATTTGCGAGATACCTCCTGAACTTTCACTCCGTTACAAATGACTACCAGTAATTTAAATGTATGCCATATTATTTCAATCCTTTAACCCAATTTGAAAGAACTAATGATGAGAATTTTAACATGTATCAGCCTAATTGAAATTCCCCCAATGCTCCTTTCTGTTTAGTTATAACTTGAAAATTGAGGACTATGTCGAGAGTCTTAAGGCAGTTTGGGTTGATAGTTTATTTGCTAGTTAAAATTTTTATTTGCATGTTGACAATTTGTAAGTGTATGTGGGTAATTTATAACAGTTCATATAAATTTTAATAAAAATGATTGAAAATAGCTAAATAGTACTGTATCATGAGCACCCCAAAATCTATTTGTATAATATAAATTCACATATTTTTTACCTGGATCAAAATAGAGAAAATTATCAACTCTATTTGACAAGTGATTTTTTGAAAAATGCTTTGAATATATCTTTTCCAATTAATTATTTATCCTTTTAGTGATCTATTTATCTCATGTATGGCCCTTATAAAAAGTGCTACACTGTAGAATACTTCAAGAAAATTAATCCAATTTCCAAGTGGAGAAAAAAGCGGGGTGGGGCGTGTTAAAAGGGTCAGAAAGCAATTCCAGATTAATTTCGGGATCAATCCTGATATAAATCGCAAACGTAGGGACTATGAACGGGATCAGAAGTGTAATTTTCCTAAAATACATAGAGAAGGAAAGCAAAGGGTGAATTTTCCCGTTTCCGAACTCTCTTCACTCTTTAGTTCTCAAATCGCGGAAATTTCTCGTGTAAAAATCCGCCGAAGATAGGCCGCAGCTGCCGCCGCAATGATCAGCGTTCTGGCTCAGGTCATCTATTTCTTCCACCTTTTTTCCATTTCTCTTTCCGTTTAATCCTTTGTGTGGACGATTTATTATGGAAATGTATGGGAATGCAATGGTTGGCAGGAGCGACTACTCGGGGCCGCCCTGGGAACTGTATTCATGGGAGCTGTTATCTTTCAGCAACACAGAAGCATCCATCAATCCATTTCTGAGACTCAATCCCTATTTTTCCCTCAATATCAGGTTAAATGACTTTCGAATTTTGTTACCTTTCTTGGATTCAATGTCTGAAACCCTAACCTAATTTGAACGTTTACTTAAATTTGAGTTGCTGTTTTTCTGTTATTCTCTTCTACATTTTCTCTGTTCATTATGGAATTTACCCAATGTTTTAGCTAATTAGTGAGGAAATTATGTTGGGTTTTAATTTCAACCCTAGTTTGCAAACATATGAATTGCGGGATGAAGAAATTAAAAAGAAAATTTTGCAATACAGCTGGTAGAAGTTTGCTAATTCATAAGGATGGTGAAACTATTGCTTAATTTTTAGGAGCCATTTTACACGCTTTTGTGGTGAATGTAGACACTTTTATTGACAACAAAAGTGCTTTTAATCGCCCTCACTAAAAACTAAACAAGCGTTCTCCCTTTTTTGTGAAGTTTGAAACTTTTCACCATTTCTTATTAAAATTTTCCCAAATAAAAATCCCATATTTTTTCCCCTATACGCTATTTCAAAGTCTCCTGTAAAGATATGGAGTACAATATGCATTTATGCTTTAATTCAGATGCAGAGATGTTAAAGCTTGAGATGCTTGTGTGCCAAAATCCTTTTCCTTTGCTAGTTGAAAGGTGCTTTTGTTGCTAATCAGTTGACCCAAAAAACTTCATTTTCAAATTCTTCCAGTTGAAAGAGCGAATGTATGACAAGCAACAAGGTCTTGATCTTGCTCATCTTTGGAACAAAGCTGTGGATCAGACATTTGGACCCGTCATTGTATCTCTTAGCTCAAAAGGATGGTAGAGATTCAGGGTTTATTTTGCAACTACTTCATTGAGGTTGCTATTGTTTTCTAAAACTTTCTCATTATGAGATTTACTGTACAATTTACATCAACACTGGGCGATTGCCCCAGTTTTGCAACTTTATGGCAGATGATGCTGTTTTAAGATCCTGACACCAGAGCCATTATTCAGTCTTTTGAAAGATCTTGTCTACATTGTATTGCCAAAGTAATGGACATTTTCATCCTGGACATTTCGTAATTTTTCATGTCTGGGATTTTTTTTTTTTGTCACTTAATGGCAAATAATGTATACTACCTTAAATTTCCAATATTTTCTGTTTATATTTCATCAGTCCGAACTTTTACACTTGTACTATCTTCAATCTGTCTATTGTTTCTTGTGGAGTTATCTCTAGTTTAGGGGAGCATTATTCATGTTGGTTGTTCTATATGTTGCATAACCTGAATCCACTCATGTTGACTTAAATGTTATTCCGAGGTCCTCGAGACTTTCTATGCAAGTGCATGCATCTGAGTGTCTGCTTTGTTTACCAGGGGCATATCAGTTTTGCTTGTGATGGGTGATTCTTTTATTTGAGGGGATGTTTTCCCGCTGCCCATTTTAATTGAAGTTTAAGTCAGTCAGAATAATGATCATTTACATGTTCAAAGTAGTTGAACCAGGAAATGATCATTGGTGTTGGTTTTAAACAAAGGCAGATTCAAAGTCCAGGTGCTGCCAGTTTTGTTGTCCTCTGCTTCGACTTGATCCTACGAGTTACCAGCTCTGGTATATAGTGGGTGACATATCTGATGTTTCTTTTCATGTTTTGATAAGAAAGAAAAATTATAGCCTTTGGTTGATGTGAGAACCGCATCTATATAACAATCCATACTTCAATATAGAAATATCTGCTACTACTCGTCAAGTATATCATCTGGATTACAATATATCACTTATCTCTACTGCAGAAATAATAGGTGTCACTTGTAAAAGCATATCATCTGCACAAAGATACATGGCTTGAATCTAGAGTAGAAACGATAGCTATGGCTCATGAGCCAGATCACATGCGTAAGAACGAAAATTACAAACTCAAGCCGGAATTCTGTAAAGGCATTGACCGTGTCCCGAATTTGATTCAGCCTATTGTAAATAGAGAGAAGAACATGTTAAACGGCAGGTTGAAGCTGCTGTGCAGCTTTGGCTCGGGCTGCATTGGTCTGACGGGTCATCACAACATAGTAAACACCAACTCCCGCAAGCAGAGCAAACACCAAGCCAATAGGGATGCTAGCAATACTACCGGCTCCCAGACGCTTTTTACTTGCATCTGGTGGTGCTGTGCTTTCGTGTGCTGGAGTTGACAGCACGGTTGCTGCTTCAGGCAATGTCGAGCATTCTGGTGAAAAACAAGGGGCATTACCCCGCTGTGGTTGTGTGTCGGGATGGAAGAAGTCATAGGCTTCAGGAGAGATAGCCATTGGACTCTCGTATGCAAGCCCGTGGGGGCTCTTTCTTGAGCTCTGGTGACGGTAGACGAGGAAAGAATGAGGAAGAGAAGCAAGGAAACTAGGGTTGTCATGTTGGTGGCTTTTGGTTTACCTTCGCTTCAATGTTAGAAGAGCAGATACTAGTGCCACTAGAGTATTTTATTTAGTGTGAGATGCTTCATCTTTTAGATGCTTAATTTGGCTTTTTATAGGATGTTCAGTAGTGGTGGTTGCTTGGAGATGAATTAAATGCACAAATACCTGGAAAAGGTGGGAACTAAATGATAGACCTCTACTTGATGGATTCTTGGTTGAAATTGTGTGACTTCTGTCAATCGAGTAATGTAACGGTTTGCACAATTCTACTTTCTCGTCTCATTGCCCTTGCCGCATTTATTTTGGGATCGAATGATGATTCACTCTCGCAACTAGGGACAACAGAAAAAGGTGCCCCGACTATTGAAGTTTCAAAGTTCTTGTGTAGGAACACAGCATTTTTCTGGCAGCTAAGTTATGCACTTTAATTCATTTTAAGTGACAAAATTTATACATGCGAAAAGAATTCCTATCATGGTCACAAAATTCGCACCAAGAATTAATGGAAACAATGAAGGTTTGATCGTAGAGAGACCAATGCGAAATGGAGGTATGTCCAATCTTCTACTCACGGTTGGATGCAGAGTAAGAGAGAGATTGAGAAATGGACTGTTCTTTCGGTTAAGGATTATTATGTGGTCTGTTTCCCGTGTGGCCTGAGAATTATGGTTCTACTCGAGTGCCTTCTCAATCAGAAAATAAGAGCATGGGCACTCATGGCTAAGTTAATATTTGTACTGATTAACAGAAATTTCATTGCAAACTTTTGGCACTTCCAACCTATTATTGAAAATCATTAGTCACCTAAAAGACCCTAAAGCCCTTCCTCTTGTTCTGGATCATCAAACTTAATTCGTCAGAAATACATAGAAAAAGAATTTTACTTGCTTCATTGTTCTGGACATTATGATACTTCATTGCTTTTCACTTTTCCCCTGGAGAAATAAGGAACAGAAGCTGATTAGATGGTGGTTTTGCTTAGCTTAAAGGCTCAGCAAAGGTCCTTAAACTCCATGTAATTGATGGGATGAGGTTAATCAACATTACAAATGGCAGTGCCTCTTTCAGCTGTTTTGTCTTGGGACATTATTGAGGAAGCCACAAGCGCATGCAATAGTAAAGAAATCAATGTTGCATCTTCAGTCTCGTTCTTCTGTTCTTCTGCAGTGCTTTAATAATATCATGCCTTTTGCAACAGCATGCTTTCTCCCATATCCATACTTCTTTTTTTTAAATACTCAAATCCCCCTTCTCTATCTCTCTCAATAAAAAGAACCATGTTTGTCCCAGGAAGCACTTGCCCTTGTATTGATGGGCTTTGAAGTTTGAAGCAGGTTACTAGTTTCAGTTAAATCATGAGGGTGTCTAATGAGAGAATGTTGAGCCTTCCACTTCACAAGAAGCACGGACACGAACTTTACTGTTCTTGTATTATTTCCTTCTGCATTTTCTGCAATGCCACTTTCCCTCCCATGGCCGTGAGAGCCATTATGCTTGATTCCCACAATTGAATCTTTGGAGTCGGCTCAAAAGAATCCTTCATCAAACACCACCGGGCTCATGACTAATTAATGTAAATGAAGATTATTCGAATGTTGCTACTAGGGCTGCAAACGAATCGAGCCGCTCGCGAGCCGCTCGCGAGCGGCTCGAGTCAAGCTCGAGTCGAGCTCGATGTTAATCGAACTCGAGTCGAGCTCGAGCCGGCTCGAGTCAAACTCGAGCTCGAGCTCGAGCTCAGAATATTAAGCTCGTTAGCTCGCGAGCTTGGGTATATATATATTTTTTATTTTTATTTTATTTAATAATAAAATTAACTATATTATATATATTTTTTTATTTTTATTTTCATAGTAAAATTACGTATATGTCCTTAATATTTTATTATTTATTAAGAAAAAAATATTATTTTATTTATTTTTTAAAAATAAAATTTTTATTTTTTATTTTTTTTCGAGCTCGAGCTCGAGTTCGAGCTCGGCTCGACTTGATTCGAGTCGAGCTCGAGCTCGAAATTTGCCAGCTCGTCGAGCTCGAGCTCGAGCTCGAGCTTGGTAAAATTAATCGAGGCTCGGCTCGATTAGCTCAAAGCTCGACTCGGCTCGGCTCGTTTGCAGCCCTAGTTGCTACAGGACTTAGGTTCCATTTGATAAAAAAATCTGAACTCTGAAACAATTAATTTGTTGAAGTTTAAGCACTGAAAAAAATATAAATGTCTGAATTTTAATGCTAAACCTAGTTATACTGTTGATAAACATTTATAACTGAATGCTTAATACGTTAAATTTAATAATTTTGCCCTTATATCTTTTCATCCAAAAAAGAAATAGAATCTATAATTTAATTATTTTAAAATTGTTAGGTATGTAAATGACAATATTTATTTTTAAGTCAAATTAATGTAAAAGATGAAATATATTATATGAGGAGTATGGAGAAGATGTGAAAGTCATTAAAAAAGGAGAAAAGAGAATAGAAAACCTTAGATAGAGAATATCAGGTTGTTTAATTAGATAAGAATTTTAAACATAATTAACAAACAATGGTAGATTTGGTAGATAAGATAAGGTAGTTGAAGTAATTCCTATTAATTCTTATCAGAATTAAGCATTCAGTTAGGATTCTTGTGCTGAAAAAAACACACAATTTCAGCACTGCCTAACAAGTTCAGCAGATGGATTTTCATTTATCAAACACTCAAAACATCTGAGTTTCTGAAAAAATTCAGTTTCAACACTTTTTAATGTTATCAAACAGACCCTTAGTCCTGTGTCAAAATTGCTAGATGAGTGAAATTTTGGGCACAACACATAAATGAAACTGAAAAATCAAGCTTGTAGATTTGTTGCTTGCTATTCTAAGATCAGTAAAACTGACAAAACCATGACAATTTACGAATCAAGAAGGATTATGACAAAAGGTTAGAATTAGAATTTTGGACAGCCTGAAAATCAAGAAATGATTTTTCTTCCTTTTCTTTTTCCGTCCTATATGTTTCTTTCATTTTGAGTATTTGAGATTTGCCTTGGGCTTCTATTTGTCAAATTTTCACCGTGTTGTAGCGAATCCATAATCCATGTTCCATAGACACAAATGAAATGCTTCTCACTGTTCAGATTTTTTTTTTTTTTAAATATATGCAATGACAATAGTGATTGCAGGTTCTCTGCAATGACAATAGTGATTGCAGAGTACAATTAATGGTTTCTTGAGATTGAATGGAGGGGATTAAATATAGAACATAAATTATAATATGTCAATTTTTTAAATATTTTTTATATATTATTGTGTTAGTGGCTAAATTCTGTTCAGCCAGTGTCTACACTGTACAGTTAAAACCCGAATGTCTGATTGTAATTTTGGACATATCCTAAATTGGCATATAAACCGCACGGATAACATGGCCTGCATAACACAACAAACTGAACTGGGCTCCCAGAAACATTGGGCCCATGAATATAAGCCCGAGAGATTTTGGACTGAATAGCTGAGACACAATCTTTGCTGTTTCAACACTTTCAACCAAGGAAAGATCCCGACACGATTGGAGAAAACGGAGAGAAAGGGGAAAGTTTTTTCAGTCTGATTGGCCCTGGATACATATTTTCAGCTAACTTTTAAAACAGACAAAGGAATAATTCTTTAATTTTAGATCAAGTAGTAGAAGTTTTGGGGTGCATATGTTCAGCTAACTCATTAAATGCATACAAAGGAACAATTCTTTAATTTTTTGATCAAATAGTAGAAGTTTTGTGTTCACCACCGGATGTTCATGCAAGTAGAAGGGACTTGTATTTTTTAATCATAAGGTTTCGAGTTCGAAACCCATGGGAATAGAAAGAACAACGCTGAACAAACTTTCTCCCATAAGGGGTTCGATCCGACTCAAATAGAATTAGTCGCATATCATACAACGTATGCGAATTCCTGTGATTTATATAAAAAAAAATTGATTGAGAAATGATTTGATGTGTCACTGTTAATATTTGGAAGTTTTAAGAATTACTAAGGCAAAAGGTTGTAGTAAAAGTAAGTTTTTTTTATATACTGTCACCATACATATTTTTAAATACCCAATGCTATAAAAGATTTCTATGGAGCATTATAGTCCACTAGAATTAAAATCAATTGATCGGTTTGTTCTTCATCTTATTAAATAGGGTGAATGCGTCTCGTTTCTATCTGATCCTTCAACGTGTATTTAATTTTGGAAAATATTATTTGCACTCCATTTTTTGTTATCTGCACTTCTACCTTTTATTTATCATATAGTATAATAAATGAAAACTATATGATTAAAATGATAGTGAGAGTGTGATTAACAAAAAAAAGGGAGGACAAATAACATTTCCCTTAATTTTTAGAGGTAGACAGGATATAACTCCTTCATACTCTCTTTGGTATTCCTCTACTCAAAATAAGTATTTTTCTGTAGCGTATTTAATGGTATAGAGCACAATAGTAGACCCTTTTTTTTTTCCTTTTGTTTGTCTGTGATAAATTTATCTTGTCAAGAAGCCGCTGCTAGATTCGAATTCGAACATATTTTTTATGGCGTGCAATGATAAAGTGTAATAGTCTTTGTATACCACAAATAGAAGGATAAAGTGTCAAAATTTTGGAAGAATTTCCAGTTTTTACGTTATGTAGCTAATAAAAATCTCCGACCATGTTGTCATATCCTTCTTTGGAAGTACACGAAATTAAAAAGGGTTCCTCAATTATCTAGATCATTCTGATAACCTCGAGAACCTTGATGCTTCCCTGTAAATTGTGGCAAAACTCTGCCTTTCATAATGTAAGGTCAAAAGTGCATATCAATGGTCCAACAGCTAAAGCCACCAACTCAGCTATATATATATAAATATATATATATATATATATATATATATATATATATATATATTTGTGTGTGTGTGTGTGTGTGTTTGGAAGATGCCTCTTCGATGAAGGCCATAAAATATAAAACTAAGGACAAGATAAGGTGGACTAGCTCAACCTATCATCCTTAG